GGAGACTCTGGATGTCCAGGATCGCTTGAATTTGATCCGAGTTAGCTTCGACTCCTCACTGACTCACCAGATATTCGAGGAATTTACCTGACTCCACTCCGAAAACACACTTCGCCGAGTTTAGCTTCAGCCCATACTCTCTGAGGGTGGAGAAGATATCGGCCAAATCCACCAGGTGGTCATAACTTCTTCTACTTTTAACTAACATATCATCGATGTAGACTTCCATGGTGTTGTCGATCTGTCTTTTAAACATCCGATTCATCAGCCTCTAGTACGTCGCTCCGGCGTTCTTCAGTCCAAATGGCATGACTTTGTAGCAGTAAACCCCCCTTAGAGTGATGAATGCCATTTTTTCTTGATCTGGGGGATGGAGAGAGATTTGATAATATCTTGCTCTAGCGTCCAAGAACCCATGCGCTAATACCCGGCAGTGGCGTCCACCAACTGGTCCACCTTTGGTAGGGGGTAGTCGTCCTTTGGACATGCCTTGTTCAAATCAGTGAAGTCTACACAGACACATCATTCCCCCCGCTTTTTCTTCGCACAGACCATGTTTGATAACCATTCCGGGAACTACACCTCCCGGATGGTATTGGCCTCTAAGAGTTTATCGACTTCCTCGTTCACCGCCTGGGCGTGATGTGGTGCCAAGCGCCGTGGCTTCTGCTTTATTGGTTTGCATGTCGGGTTAACATGTAGCTTATGTGTGATTACTTCGGGGTCCACCCCTTTCATTTCTATTGCGTTCCAAGCAAACACGTCTGTATTTTGCCTTAAAAAGTCAATCATCTCTTCTTGTTTGGCCGTAGGCATTGTAGAGCTAATCAGAAAGTATCTCTCTTCTTCACCATCTACTAAGAACACTTTTCGGAGGTCCTCTACCGATCGGTCCGTTGGGTCAGTCCGAGGGTCATCCACTCCTGGACACTCGGACTGTGATTATTATTTTTCCAGGATTTCCTCCGAGGCGCGTCCTTTCTCTTGGGTGAAAACCCCCGCTCTCACAGCCGAGTAAAAATAATTTTTTGCGAACGCTTGGTCTCCTTGGATCTCCACTATCCCCTCTAGTGTAGCAAATTTCAATTTCTTGTGGTAAGTGGAGTGCACCGCTCCCAACGCATGCAACCAAGCTCGCCCCATGATCACATTATAAGGGGAGTCCGTATCGATCACAACAAACTCAGTGTTGATGGTGAAGGGACCTGTGACAATGGGCAATGTAAATTTGCCAATGGGCAGGGCAAATGAGCCATTAAATCCGACGAGGGGCGTCCTAACCTTGGTGAGGTCCCTGAGGCCAAAGCCCATCCGCTTTAAGGTTTTGGAGTACATTACCTCCGAGGAACTCCCAGAATCTACCAACACCCTCTTGACGTCGAACTTACCTATCTTCAGAGTTATGATTAGGGCGTCGTTATGGGGGGTCACCATGCCTGCCAATTCTACGTCGGAGAACGTGAAACTCGGCTCGCCAGTCCTGGCTCTCTTGCTGGGTGGGCCCCCATCACTCTCGACAACCTTTCTCGTAAAGGCTACCCTTTTGAGATCAGACTCAAGCTCCTTGGATGTCGAACGATCCAGTGGACACACATGAATCACGTCTATGACGTTGTCTTGTGCCACGATCGGGGCAAAAGTATGTCCTTCTTCCGACTTGGGTTCGATGTACTCTTTCAAGTAACCGTCTTGGACTAGCCTTTCCAAGAAAGGTTTGTACACTTTGCAATCTTCGGTGAGATGGTCGAAATCCCAGTGATAGGAGCACCTGACTTTTTGATCACGGGTAGAAGGATCACTCTGCATCCTAGGCGACCACTTAAAGAATGGCTCATGCTTGATTTTATAGAGCAACTTGTAGATAGGTTCTTTGAACACAGTGTGGACACCTTTAAATGACCCTCCTAGAGGGGGTACCAGCCCCTTTCGGGAGGTGTCCTCCCTCTCCTTCTCTTTTCTCCTAGGAGCGAGAGTTTTGCCTTTGTCGCTCCCCATTTCATCTTCAATCCTGGAGTATTTGTTTATCCGGGCCATCAATTCGCTCATATCTAAAGGAGTCTTCTTAGTTAAGGATCGGTAAAGGTTCATGTCCCTTGCCAGGCTGAGCCTAAAGGATGCGGTTGTCATGACTTTCGAACACCCCTCTATCTTATTAACCTCCTCCTAGTACCGAATGACATACTGGCGAAGGGTTTCCAATTTTTTTTGCCTGAGCGTCAGTAATGATCCAATATCTTTGGTCCACTTACTCCCCAAAATGAATCGGGCTAAAAATTGTCTCGCCAACTCCTTCCATGACCCAATGTTGTTGGGAGGAAGAGTCTCGAACCACTTCATAGCAGAATCTCCCAAACTCATGGAGAACACTCGATAGAGGAGTCGTTGGTCCGAGTGATACAGGGACATCATTTGCTTGTATTATCTGAGGTGAGCTTTGGGATCAGACCGCCCATCATAAGTTTTGAACCTTGGCACGATGAACTTCTTTGGTACCTCCATCTCTCGGATATCCCCAGTAAAAAGGGATTGCATGGCCTCGTCTTTTGCGTCATCATGGACAGCCTTGCCCCTTCTTCTGGATTCCAGCCGAGCTCTGAGATCAGTTTTCACCTCAGGGGGAGGTCCTCTGAGGTTTCTAAGGTCATTGAAGGGATTCCCCTTCTCCGGGCGTCGTGTGGAAAGGGTTGAATCCTCCTCGGACTCATCCCCCTTCCCCTACTTGGACAATCCTCGTCGAGGGTCATCCCAAGCCAAAGGCCTTGCCTTCTTGGAATGACTATCAAAGGGGTGCTCATTGGCCCTCGGGCGCTTTGGGACCCTAGAACTCTCAGCTTTGTTGTTTAAATGATTCCTCAGGTCCTCGATTTCTGCTTCCCAGACAAAGCGTCTGCGGGAACAGAATGAGTCCCTCGATCCTTCGCTGGGGGCTACAAATTCTTTGAGTCGGCTTAGGACATTCACATTATCTTTTTCTAATTGCTGTAGTCGATCCCCAAATTTTTTTTCGATCACTTCCACCAGTTGACGATCCAAGGTGGTGGATCCTCCTGACCTAATGCCCATACTGGTTTGAGGAGTATCCCCCCTTGATTGAATAAAAATGTTCCTATTGTCACCAGCATGATCCCTCCCCCCACCATGATGAGGAGCTTGTAACTCGAGACTTCTTTACTAGGGACCTTTCCCTTTCTGTCGAGTATTCACCATGGTCACTGTTCTTTCTAGAAAAGAAACTAGGAAAACTAGTTGTTTCCCACAGACGGCGCTAGATTGTGCGTGCACGTTCTTACACAATATAAACACAAGAACAGATCTCTTCTGTGGTGAACACGAGTCCGTCAATCGAGTGGTTAATCTTGCTACTTGGAAAAGGTTGTGAGGGCCGAAGGTGGCCTATGAAGTGATGGTGGATTATTTTTATGGGTCGCCTGACTGGTCTTGGGAGGCTAAGAGAGGTTCTTGGAATAGAGAAAAACAGGCTAGAAGGGCGTTAGAGTGTTTTCTGGCATATCCCCTCCGACGATCAAGTTAGTTTTTTGAGATAGGAGAAGAAGAAAACACTATATGATCCTTGAGAAATGGTTTTTGCGTCTCTTTTTAATGTGTTTATGAGGACTATTTATACCTTACAAAACTCATCATTACTGACAACGTAGCTAGTAGGTAATCATTAGAGGTGGGCAGTGTGCACACTAATTTCTATGAGAAATGTTCTCATTCTTAACTGCTCGGGACCCCGAACAACTAATGTCTTCTTCTCGATCTGCCGAGCGTTTAATGACCTTCTCTCGATAGGGATGTATTAAATGCCCAGGCATAGGAACATTTATTACCTTTCACTTCCAGGCTCTTATGCATTAAATGTTGTCTCATCGAGTGAAGGATGCATTAAATGCCTGACCTCTCAAGCCGTGTGTCAGCAAGGACATTCTGGTCTTTTTGTCTCTAACCTTACACAATATGTCATGTGCCCATTCCCCTTTGGTTGAGCCTTTTGCTTCCTTGTGCCTCCTTACACCATTTGAGTAGCACGATGTTATGATGGCTAGTCTAGCCTAACCTAGGCTAGTAACCTGTCAATTAATAGCCCCTGCAGGAGCAGAAACGCCCACGTGGACAGATACACCTCGGTGCCGAGGGACTAGCATGATTAGGGACCGATATCCCAAACTGACCGAGGGATACGTGTCGGTCCATGGCGTATTGGGGATCCTTGATCCCTGTGAATAGTACCTTTGGGGAAGAGGGTTATAAACTGACGAGAATGTGTCGAGATCACAACAAATAGTCTCAATTGGCGCCGAGTACACGTGTCGTCATCTTGGTGTGTCTGAAAATGTCCCATCACATAACAAAGTATTCGTATGATGAAAAAGCAATGAGCTGGATTTAAAAAAAAAAATAGGACTCATATGATGCAACTATCCAACATTAAACTACCAACTGAAAATTCCTTTTTCACATACCTAGTGTAAAAACTGTTGCACTTATGAAGGAGCTTTGAAGGGATGGTGAACTAAGGCTAGGGATAATGAACTAAGGCTGGGGACCGTGGGATTGCAATACAATCACAGGCAAAGATCACAACATCTATAATACAAAACACTATTATTTACTTTTGAGATTGTTGTTTAGAGACACAAAACACATAGAGATGCAAAAATATAACCATGAAGACACTATATAACACACTGTGTGTGGAGTTTTTTGATCATCATAGGTGGGATTCTTGGTCTTGGAAGCTACTATTTCCACTATGTAACTTGTAAATTGACCTGTAGAATTTTTGTCACTGCTTTGTCGAGAAGCATTGTCGAAGTGACATACGCCACCATTCTCAAATTGTTTAGTATTTGTAATATGGGGGTTGGCATTTGGGATCCTTAAAATTGGAGAGGTCCTTAAAATTGGATCCAAAAGAAGAGCAATAGATTACTAACCCAAACAATCAAATAAACTCAATCGGCAAAAAAATATGAACGACTATTTTTTAATTGATTTTATTCCATCAAGCCACCAGCCCTACCAATTTTCACTACAAGCCACCAGAAAATAAAATTTGTGACATGCAAATTAGGAAGTGAGCAACATATTTGAACCATAAATTAGGTATACAATTGAACAATAACAACATAATAAGTCATTTCTATTATTGTTGGAACCCAATTATTTTACCTGATTTTCGGAGAGTGACTTTCTGCTTGTAAGGCTGAGCTGGTGCTTCCTTGGCCTCCCGAGTAGCTCCTTTGGCCAAGTTCGTCTGGTGCCACTTCCCCTGTGTATGGGCCAAGTAATTCCCCTCATTGTTGTGCAGTGTCAAACAGAGCTTGCACTCATAACTTCAAAATCCCAATTTTCACAACAACATCAATATCAACTAATCATTTAAACACACACACACACACAAATATATATATATATATAGAGAGAGAGAGAGAGGTAATTGGACCTGCTGAAAGGATTGCGCATGAAATAGGGATCTTTGGCGAGATCGATGGTTTCGAGGGCGAGTCTGCACAACCGTTCACGACGATCAATGGCTTCATTCTGGGCGGAGGCGGCGTCTCCGCTACCGAGCTTTGAACCCCATTCTCTGTCCATCTCTTTGTCTGCTTCATTCTGGGCGATGACTTCTCTCGTGTTCTCTTGGAGGTGAGAAAGAGAGAGGAGAGAGAGAGAGGAGAGCTTACCTGGGTTGGTGGGGGTGGCCGGTGAAGGTTGAAAGGGAAGAGAGAGGTCGCAAAGGAGGAGACCGACAGAGAGAAGAAAAAGAGAGACGTTGGGCCCTTGGGAATTGTGTCTGACAACTAAGTTGGGCACCGTGTAAAGGGTTTGGGCAGGATAAGTTTTTTGTGGGGGATGTATTGTCAGCCTTTGGATTAACTTGAAATAATGGAGATGAAATCTAAGTCATTAAATTAAAAATAGATTAAATCTGAGTCGTTCTTGTGCTTTCCCAAATGAATTAAAATTAGATTAAATTTTGAAGTAAAAATGAATTCAAATTGGGTTCTATCTTATTAGTATAGATAAATGAATAAGTGAATCTCATTTATCAAAAAACATATATATATATATGTGTATATATATATATATATGTATATTCACAAAATCCAATAATGTCTGGGTGTATTCGTTGTGATAAATCGTCCAATCTAAACTAGCGGTGTAATTTGGGCGGACTAATCCAAACCTAACCCGAAAAATAGGACTAAGTTGAGGTTTTTATTACTTAGATTGAATCTAGGCTAAAAAATAGCAACTCGAATTAAATTGAGGCAATAGTTGGGTAAGCGAATTCAATTCAAATATATAAATTAAACTAAAGCTGAACATATTTAAAAATAAATATATAAATTAATGGCGTTGGCACTTCACAATCGGTTCAACGTTCACTGCTGCGCCTCCCTCAGTTTGTCTAGGCCCACACTCTCTTCACTCCACTTCTGAAGACTCGTTTGAATGAATTTTGAGGAGTTTGAAACACGAATGATCGAAAGGAGACCCATAGTTCAATGGGTTATTTTGTAATTAACCCAAAAACAACCCACTCCACAAAGACACTGTCTATAAATAGAGGGTTCACTTCCATGGCGAACCTACATTCAGAATCTGGTGGCGATCTTCTTCTCCTTGTGTGTGAGTTATACGTTCTTATCTACTGCTGATAATCTCCCTTTGTCGATAACAACAATAATAGGGTTTTTGTATTGATTTCATAAGTTTTTGAAACAGAGTATGACTCACTGAATCGAATTGGTTCATGCAGGAAAGCTAAAATGAGTTCACAAGTGAAGGAGGACTGTCTCGGATGGGCAGCAAGAGATTCATCTGGTTTTCTATCCCCTTATAAATTTATTCACTTTTTCATCCTTCATATTTTTCTTTTTTATCAAACATGATGTTTTATTTATCCTTTCAACTTTCCATCTTTTCAACTTTCCATCATTCCATTTTTTCATCGTACCAAACGAAATATTAGCTTCAAAGAGTCGAAACAAATGCCTCCAAAAATTTCAGATTTTGAATTTTACAAAAAATAGGTGACGGAGACAAGAATTATGATTTACTCACCGAACAGGATGAGTATTAAAACTAACCTTGTTAACGACTTTTTTTTAAAATGGGTAAGGTGGTGGAGACTACTCCCCCACCCTTGGTCCACCATATAATTGGGTACTTTTATACCACCAAATTTGAAAAAAAAAAAAATTGAATTTGGTATATGTGAAATAGGTTTAAAAAATAAGTGATTTTTTATTTTAAGAATTACTAGAAATATAACGATTAATATTAGTTGAAAAAAGAAAAGTAAAGCTCAATAAAAATAACATAATTGATGTTTTGGTGGATGAGATATGATTAATTAAGTGGAAAATTTCATTCACATTTTTTTTAATTAAGTCTAAATTTAATAACACTCTCTTCTAATTTTAAAACTTCACTGCATCTCCAAATTTTAAAATTTTATTGTCAGATGATAATGTAGACAAAGCAATAATCAATGTAGTTGAAATTTTCCCTTAATTAAACAACGCCCCCTTAAGCTTTAGCCACTCCGTACGTCATATCTGTTTATTTTATATATAAGTAATGCTATATAGAATTAAAAATTAAACTTGATAATCTTAACCATTGAATAGATAGTGGATCTTAATAAATACTGGGATCTATAATAAAATCAATGGTTATAATTATTAAGTCTACATAGCATTGTTATATATATATATATATATATATATATATATATATATATATGTTGAACTAGTCAAATGGCTAAATCACATCAGAATTGAGAGGGACAGTCAAGAAGTGGTCAAGCTCTGCGCAACTGAAGGAGTAACTCCTCGGAAAATCAGTGCCTCTGTGGATGACATTAATTTTTTTTGCTAGAAAACTTAATATAAGGCTTTTAAATAAGTCAAAAACTTTTAACGGGACATCTCAATAGGTGACAGCAGCGATGTTGTCCAATTCTCTTGCTATGAATTGGGCCAGTTGCCCCTGTCGAGTTTAAGGGTTTATTTTCTTTGGAATGAATTTATAGTCTGGATTTTGATCCAAAAAAACAAACGTATTCTAAAAATCCTACAAAGATGTCACAGCTAACGTCAAGATGCCCATTAGAAAACTCTCGATTGTGACTCCATTGCTTACGTATATAACATTGTTTCATCGTCTAATCTATTTAATATTATAGTTAGGAGTTAATATCATCGTCTAATCTATTTAATATTATAATTAAGCAGTCTTAGGCGTTAATAAACTAAATTCTCAACTCAAAAAAGCAAGCACATCAGGGGAGACCCTCATTGTCACGTGCAGGGGGGACACTATCTGCTGGTCGTCCCTCTCCCCCATTTTTGTTGCTCAAAAAAAAAACTCAAAAAAGTACGATAATTATTAAAATTAATTTAATTTTTATATATTTTGATTTAATGACACAAAATACATTCCCAATTTTATTTTTTCGCTCAAAAATATTATATTTTTTATACGACTTCTAATATCAAATAACTCAACTAACACATTTTTTAAAATCAAACAATCTAATTAATTTAAGCATGTCTCTTTCTTATTTTTTTTTTGTTCGTTTTAATTTTAAATTAAGTAATTAAAAAAATAAATAAAATTATTAGTTAAAATATAAATCTTGCACGATCAATTTCAATTTTTGGTATTACATGGTGTTTTCAAGCACGAAGTTATTGTTAGTTTATCTAATAAAATAATTTTTATTTTGAATTTTATCTCCACATATTTTTTTCACTCATTTATATCATATCACAATTTAAATTATTTAATTTTTTATTAATTTATGGTTCAATATAATTTTTATTTCAGAAATTATTTATATACGATAATGGAAACATGCTGATAATTTTTTGAGGTTAAGTATTTTGAAAAACTTTTGATGAATTTTTGTAAATAATTATTATTTAATATCTCTCGATCAATTTTTTAATGCTCAAATTTTAGTTTTGTATATTGAACGGATTATAACATGTAGATCAATAAATTAATAAGTGAATCTCATTTATCACAAAAAAAAAAAAAAGATCACAAAATTCAATAATGAGCGGGTGTATTCATTTTGATAAATCCCCCAATCCAAATTGTGTGCGACTTGGACGGGTTAATTCAAACCCAACTCGAAAACTAGAGCTTGAGTTGAGGTTTTTAAGGCTTGGATCGAATCGAAGCTAAAAAAAAGCAACTCAAATTAAATTCGGACAATATCTGGGTAACCGAGTTCAATTTAAATATATAAATTTGGATAAGTCCAAACATATTTAAAAATAAATATATAAATCAATAGCATTGGCACTTCGCAATCGGTTCAACGTTCACTGTTGCGCCTCCCTCAGTTAGGCCCACACTCTCTTCACTGAACTTCTGAAGACTCGTTTGAATGAATTTTGAGAAGGAGTTTGAAACATGAAGGACATTATCGAAAGGAGACCCATAGTTCAATGGGTTATTTTGTAATTAACCCAAAAACAACCCACTCCACAAAATGTCGACTGACCAGACACTGTCTATAAAAAGAGAGTTCACTTCCACGGCGAACATACATTCAGAATCTGGTGGCGATCTTCTTCTCCTTGTGTGTGAGTTATACGTTCTTATCTACTGCTGATAATCTCCCTTTGTCGATAACAATAATAGGGTTTTTGTATTGATTTCATAAGTTCTTGAAACAGAGTACGACTCACTGAATCGAATTGGTTCATGCAGGACAGCTAAAATGAGTTCAGAAGTGAAGGAGGACTGTCTCGGATGGGCAGCAAGAGATTCATCTGGTTTTCCATCCCCTTATAAATTTCCAAGAAGGTTTGAAAACTTGCTTTTATTTTCGATCGACCAACTCTACTTGGACCTAATTGTATAGACGGGACACAAATAGCATTTTCTTTAGTATTTTTGTGTAGTCGATCATATCTTAAAACATATATTTCTAATAACTGGTCTTTGAGCTTATGAACAATTGAATTGGAGTTTACATTCTTGCTATATTGTTATTATTACACAGATTTGCTGACCTTTTTGAATATGGGGATAAACCTCGATACAGGGCAGTTGGGGATGAACAATTTGGGTATTGATTCTAAGATTACACAACCTGTTAATCTTGAATTCTATAGTTCGGATTAGATTCCAAAAATCATAAGCTACAATGGAGTACTTGAATCGGATTGAGATATTTTTGTCCAAATCCAATCCAAGTAGTTGAATCTTTGACCAAATACTAAATACTTGGTTAGTTGGGATTGATATGCTCAAATTGCACCTGAAATATTTCAGATAATACAAATATGGGTTCGCTCATATTTTTCATCAATTGATGTCTGTACATTTGAGCAGACATGAAATTGCTGGAGTTGTGAAAGAGGTTAGCCCCAATGTCCATCGTTTCAAAGTTGGCCAACATGTTGGAGTTGGAACGTATGTTAACTCATGCAAGGAATGTGACAACTGCATTGCTGATCGGGAAGTCCATTGCGAAAAAGGAGCAATATTAACATTTAACTCTGTTGATGTGGATGGTACTGTCACAAAAGGTGGATATTCCAGCTACTATGTTGTTCATGAAAGGTAACCTACAGTCATGGCAAGCTATACGTATTAATCATTCCGTAATTTGTCCTTAATTTGAATCCCACTAAGTTATGTGTTCGAATGAAAGAGTAGTTACTTTGTGCTCAAATGAATATTGTCGTAACTTCAGGGCCGGCCCAACAGCAAGTGTTAAAAAGCCTGGGCTTTAAGTCCCATTTCCAAAGAAGGCCCCAAATTTTTAAACATTATAAATAACTCATGTAAAAAAAAAAATCTTATAAAACTATAAGCTTAATCAACCATTTTAGGGCCATTATTCAATCCAAACATTAAATATCTAAAAAAAAAATTAACAATATAAAAAAAAAACAAAATTGAAATGTCATATCAAAGTCATCAAAATAATCCAAAAATCAAATCATATAGTCTTTTTAACACACTCTCTCTCTCTCTCTCTCTGTCTCTCTCTCTCTCTCTAAACCAACAAAATTAACTATACAAAAACAATTTTTGTTCATTCTCAATTTTTGTTCATTTCTCTCTCTCATTAAACTGAAACAAAAAAATAAACTCTTCTTCTTACCTCTTTCTCTCTCTCTCTCTCAGCTCTCTCAAGACTTGAGAACTCACAGAACTCGTTACTCAGATCAATTATTTTTTTGCCAAGTGTTATAACGGAGAACTCACAGTCACAGATCACTTAGATGACTGACTTGGTGACAGTGACTCGCCGCTCCATCCTTCATCATCAACTCAAGTTTTCATTGCAACATAAGGGACATGGTTTAAAACCAAAAAATATTAACACTAAACATAGAAGAGTTCATTTAAAAGTATCGCTTTAGGTCCCAAATTGTCTTGAGCCACCCCCGCATAACTTGACTCTATTGAGTCAATTACTAACCTTTTTGAGTCAAAACTCGGCTTTAAATGAGTTATAAGTGGCTCTTATATACTACTAATTTTCATATCTGAATCAAAGTTAAGTGGGTACTGCTATAGTTTTGGACATACAGGTACTGCTTCAGAATACCTGATGGCTACCCATTGGCCTCAGCAGCTCCCCTGTTGTGTGCTGGAATTACTGTGTACAGTCCCATGATAAGGCATAAGATGAACCAACCTGGAAAATCTCTTGGGGTGATAGGGCTTGGAGGCCTTGGTCACTTGGCTGTCAAGTTTGGGAAGGCTTTTGGATTGAATGTAACGGTGTTCAGCACAAGCATGTCTAAGAAAGAGGAAGCTTTGAATCTTCTTGGATCTGACAAATTTGTGGTCTCATCATATGAACAACAGATGAAGGTAAATGATATGTGTTACTTATGGATTTCGAAATCCAGATGTTGCTCCATAATTTCCATCTCAATGGTGAAACACCCACCGACCTGCATATTTATAGTGAGTCCTGACTTAAAATCATGTCACTTGATTTAGTTGTAAAAATTGAAAAAAAAATATATTGTAGAGGACCCAAGCCCGTTACTTCCAAAATAAGATGTTATCGGCCAACCTTAAAGTGACATAATGAACAATTTGAGAAACAGGGCATTCAACAGTTTGATCCACTTGTATGCAGGCCCTGACAAATTCATTGGACTTTATAATTGACACAGCTTCTGGGGATCACCCATTTAATCATACATTGCCCTGTTGAAGACTGCTGGCACCCTGGTCTTGGTTGGCGCCCCAAGTGAAGTCAAGCTCAGTCCCATCAGTCTTATTAGAGGTACTTGTAACACTTGCAATTGTGATAGGCACACACGCAAAAAAAAAAAATAAAGACTTGTAATTGTGAAGCATGCGGACAAATTGCTTGCGTGACTAGAATATGTGATTTTCCAACCAGTGTTTTAAAACCTGGTCCGGCTCGGCGAATTGACCCGGTGAACCGGTTCCCTAACCGAGTCAGTTTTATAATTGAATCGTTTGAGTAAAGAACTCGAAATAAAACCGGTGAACCGGTCAAAAAATCGATAACCCGTGAAAACCGGACGGGTTTACAAAATCGGCCGGTTTTGTTCCTTTAGTATAAATATGTCTTTTTTTTACATTTTTGTGTCTTTTTCTTTTTCTTTTCCATTTTTTGTGTCTTTTTCTTTTCTTTTCCATTTTTGTCTTTTTCTTTTCCATTTTTGTGTCTTTTATAAATATGTCTTTTGTCATTTTTACATTTTTTTTACACTTATGAATATTTGCATTGGTTTGTTAATTGGATACAATTAAGTGATTCAGGCTTGATAATTTTGTTTGATTTAATATATATTAAACATGTTATTTTTATAACTATTTTAATTTTTTAGTCTATTTATCATCATTAATAATTATTTTTTATTTTTTTATTATATCACCGGTTCGACTAGTGACCCAGTGGTTGAACCAGAAACCCATTGACCCGGTCCCTTCTCCGAGTTGATGTACGGGCCGGGTTTTAAAACTATGCTCCCAACCCTAGTCATAATTGTAAAGAGAATTTTTTTTTTTTTTTTAATGGGTGGCAGGTATAAAATCGATTTTTGGGAGTGTAACAAGGGGTTTAAAAGACGAACAAAAAATGCTAGATTTCTGTTCAGCTTACAAAATATACCCTTGGATTGAACTGATTTCAATCCAATATATAAATGAATCTCTTGAGAGGCTAGTGAAAGGAGATGTGAAGTATCGATGTGTGATTGAAATAGAGAAGTCCTTGAAATGATACCTACACAAAGTACATGGATATCCAACTTCTTGATGAATGTGGATGGACTACCAACATGTTATGTGACTCGGTTTTCATTATTTATGTAAGTTTTAGTATGGTGTGATTTTGAATTTGAAATGAGAAGATCGCTTGATGTGCTCCGTAATAAAAATCGCATTGACGTAATAAAAATCACATTGACGTGTATTAAATCTCATATCAGTCCCAAACAATTTTCTTCGTCATTTTTATTTGATTCTTATAATTACACAACTGATCTGACTCCACTCTATTAAGCTTTGAGATATTAAAAAGTATCTTGGGATTGCCCTTAGACACTTATCATATCATTAAACGATAGATGTGAAATGGAGGGATTTCATGTGTCCAGTCAAATCAGTTGATGTTTTCTAAAATTCAGATAGAAGAGTATACTTCCAAAATTAGAAAAAAAAATTTAATTTTTTGGGCATACCTGAAATAAGCAAAAGTAGTATAAGGGAAATTTTCCTTTTCTTCTTATAATCTACCAAAAATATTGGACATTAATATCTGAGAAAAAAGAAGGGAAAAGGTAATAATAGTGTTTGGATTAATATTGGATATTATTCAAAAAATTCACAAGTTACTACTTATTTTGAGTCATATTGTGACTATAAAATGTCAATTACAACTTTCCGCAATCAAGTTCCAACTCAAAATAAAATTAAAATGATTCTAGAATATGAGAATTAATCCTTAATATTATAATTGATCACAAATAATCTTATTTGATCCACCTTGTTATGGTTCTTCTTGATTATCTGAAACTTGATTTGGAGAATCTGTTATGAATAATACCATATATCTTGTTGAATTGGTGCAATATTTTTAATTGTAACTTCGATGCCCTTGCATATTGAATCCATGAGAGCCTTTGAATTTGATTCTATGATTATTCCTTGAAGCTGAAGTTTCAATGCCATTTTGCAAGCTCTCTTAACTGCACAAGCCTCAGAAACTAGTGCAGAAGAAGAATCAAAAGATCTGGCATTCCCATTTATTAAACCCCATCCTCATTTCTAACAACTCCATACACTCCTATCCTAGACTTCTGCACAGGGGTGGCTCAAGATAATTTGGGACCTAAAACGATACTTCTACATAAGGCCTTCTATATTTAGTTTTAATATTTTTTATTTAAAATTAATTTTTCTTGCTTTTTGAGTTGCAAAAGTATTAATTATATTTTTATATTCAAGTTTTGCTACCATATCTTTTTCAATTGATAATATTGTTAATTCAATTAATCTTTCTTGTGACATAATCGATCTTAAATAAGATTTTATTAATTTTAATTTTGTAAAACTTCATTCCACAGAAGCAACTATTATATGAATTGTTAATAATATTTTACAAGTAATGCATGCATTTAAAAAAGAATCTAACTTTTTTATATAATTTAGTATCTCAATTGGAGTATTTTCTTTCGTTTGTAAAATTTCTTTTAAAACATTTAGTTCTAAAAATAAATTTAAGCCATAATTTATTTATCCTCTATTTTCTATTTCATTATCCTCTATTTTATTATCTTTTATTTCAATATTTTCTATTTCAATATTTTTTATTTCATTATCTTCTATTTCAACATTTTTTATTTTATTCTTTTCTATTTCATTATCTACTTGTTTATTTTCAAATTTTTCATCTAAATTTTTTGTTACATTATTTTTGTTACTAGTAACAAATTTATTAAAAGATTTTTTTTGAAATTCTATTAGTTGGTCTATTATAACTATATAACAACCAAATAAACATAATATATAGTATAGTTAAAATATATAACAAAAAAAATTAAAATTATGAAACAATAGAACCTTGAATGATCTCAATTGTTGACTTTTGATTTTGAACCATGTCTCTTACGTTACATTGAAAACTCGATACATTGAAAACTCGAGTCAATGGAGGATAGAGACCAAGTCACCTTCACCGAGCTATTGAGTCACCATCTCACGTTACTGTAAGTCTGTGAGTTGAGAGAGAGAGAGAGAAGAAGAAGAAGAAGAAGAAGAAGAAAAGTTTTTGTTTTAGTTTAAATGAGAGGAAGAAAGAAAAAAAGAATTGTTTTTGTATTGGTTTATCGAGAGAGAAAGAGAGAGTGTGTGTGTTAAAAGTATGGTAATGATTTAACTTTTGAATTTCTGATTTTTTTTAATTTAACGTGACCTTTGAGTTCAAGTTTTTTTTTTACTGTTAATTTTTTAATATTTGGATTGGGCTATGAGCCTAAATGATTGATTAGGCTTATATTTTTATAAGATAATTTTTACGTAGATTATTTATGGTATTTAAAATTTTAGGACCTTAATTTGAATTGGGTCTAAAGCCTAGCCTCTTTTAAATATGTTGTTGTGCCGGCCATGCTTCTGCAAGAAACCCCCGTCAGTGTTGATTTTCATCCACTCTTCAGGTGGAGTCATCCATCCAGAATTCTCCACTCTTGAATTTTCCTTTATGCTGACGTTATCCTTACAAGTAAAGACCTCTTCTGCCACTAGAATAGCTTTACGGATCACTGTATTGCACTGAGGTACATGATAATTATGCATCCATTCATTTCTTGCCTTCCGGTAAACCAATACGCCATAATAGCTCTATTTGGGCATAACTAGCTACAAATCCAATATTGATGCCTATATTTTTCTCTGCATTAAAAGCGGGTGCAAATTGAGAACGAGTCCCTAGGTGGACTTGTTTAGAGATAAGTCCGGTAAAAAAATTTATTTGGTTATAAGTCTATTTTTTTTTGCCAAGTTTACTATTGTACCCTTATTTTTTAGAAAAACATAAACGACATCCAATTTGCCGTCTCTTTCCTAGACGGTAAAACCCTCTAACTCCTTTACTGTAAACCGAAACTTCCCCTTTTTTCAAGTCTTAAAATCCGGCAATATTCATCAAATCTTCCATAAATTCCTTACCTGAAAACCAGTAATTGTCATTACCCAAACCAGTCCTATTCAAATTTCTAAAAAGTTACATATCATAAGAGCAAAATCTGAATATACTCTTCAAAGTTTAATCCGGACTCCATTGAAGAAGTTATTGTTGTTGTCTCTGCATTCAAATCATCATCAACAATCTTTGGGATTCATAAACAGATTGAAAGGTATTTAGATGAATGTTAATGTATATTTTTGGGTTTTAGGAAACTCATTGCCTGATTTGTCGTTCTTACGATCATCTGAATTTTTTTTTAATTTTTTGCATTAATAACATTAAAATTAAGATAGATTGTTACTATAATAAAAGTGTTATGTATTTTGTTTTTGTCATTCTTCTTGATGTGTTTGACAGTTGAAATTCGTTGGTTGTATTTCTGTGAAATATATGAAGTTACTGTGTGAGGAGTTGAATAAATTTATCTCATAATTTAAATACCTTGATGTTATTGATCGGTGTTGAGTGTCCTAATTCAAGCATTGACAGTGTGCTACAATTGGGAATTTTTTAAATTTTAAATTTTAGAATTGTATATTTACTATAACCATTTAAAATTTGATATTACTGTGAATACAATATAGCATTTGGGATGAAACTATTCATGTTAGTGTTACTAATTTAATGTGCTATGTATTTACATGTGAACATTTTTTTGTTGTTTTATGCGTTGTTCAAGACATTTGAAAACCATTGTTTCATAGTAACATGAAATATATCATGATACTCTGTCTTAACATGAAAATTTGATTTCTTAATTTCAATGGATTGATGTGTTTAAGTATTGTGAATGTTACTATGAAAATGATGTTATTACACGTGTTACTGCTCACAACCTTTGGTTTTTACTTTTAATGCACAATCTGTTGGTTACGAATGTTGATTTTTTTTTATGGAGTCTAGTTTGTATATGTGATTCGGATGATGACTCGACCCGAAATAATTGTTGTGTGGTTTTTAATGGAAATTTTTCTGGGGCTTAGTCCATGGAGCGAAGGCTTGGGCCGATAGGGGCAAGCCGTAGCGTTCATGAACAAGCCTTGTGGGGGTTCGGGGACAATGCCCCCGAGGAAAATTTTTTTGGGCCCGTTATACAGCCCAGTGCGTAGGACATATAAACCCTGTTATTTTGGTGATTAGGGTTAATCGTGGATTGTACAGCCGCTCTCTGTATTCAACTCTCTCAATAGTGAAATCCCTGCAGCTTCGTGGACGTAGGCAAATTGCCGAACCACGTAAAATCTGTCTTGTTCTTTCTTGTTTCTTATTGCTTTATATTCTTGATTTGTTCTTCGATTGTGTGTGTTTGTTAGTGGATTTAAATCGTGTTAAATCCCAACAACGAAAAGAAAAATATCACAAGTTTCCCAAAAAAATATTCAAGTTACTTTTGAACACTGTTATTTACGTCCCAATAATTATAACATAGAGACTCAATGGATTTCCAATGGAAACAATTGTATAATGAAAAATGTAGTTACTGAATTAAAAGTCTATTATATAATTACATGTGTAAATTTTTTGTTGCTTTTTTCGTTGTTCAAGAAATTCGAAAATCATTGATTTAAGAGTACATTGAATCTTTTCATGTTACTGTGTGATAACTGAAAAATTGAATTCATATTTCCAATGTATGCTTGTGCTTTGGGTACTGTGGATGATACTGACAAATTGATGTTACTGTAGACATGTTACTGATCAACTCCCTTTTTGGTTTTTATTTTTAATGCATCATATGTTGTTTATGAAGAGTTCAGGGGTTATTGTTTGATTTTAAATGTAAAAAAAGGAACACAATAAATTTGCAATGGAATTGTGTACTGAAAAATGATGCTACTGAATTGTGTGTGTTTTGATATTAGTAACCCGATGTTACTATATTTATTTCATGTAATTTGGTGGAACTGTTAATGTTACTTTTGCACAAAATTTTTCATAATTGGTTTATATCCATTATGCTTGGTATCATGTTACTATTTTATATATGTTACTATTTTGTATGTTAGCATACGTTGTGTGTTACTATTTTGTATCATGATACTATATGTTTGAGTAGGATATTGATATTACAACTGTCCAATATATTCGTATTGATATTACAACTGTCCAATATATTCATATTAATATTACAACGTCGTGCTACAGGTTGATGGCAATTATAGGAAATAGAAAAGAAATTGAAACCAGCACAACTTAACGCTCTACAAATACATATGGTGACTACATTCATAAACCATAGGAATGCATGGACTATTGAAGATTACAAGACAAGATTAAGATTGAAAAAAAGATCCCAAAAAAATAAAAATTGGTGATGTTGTAAAGCTATTCATTCTTTAGCTACTTGTAAGCTCGATTAGAAGTTGATTGTAATTGTTTATTGATTGGTACTTAATTTAAATGGAGTATTCAAACATGTAAAATTGTGGTTTGGATGTTACATCTTGATATTAAATTGATATATTGATGTAAGTTTGAGAATTTGTTTGTAATGGAATGTTTGGAAAACAAAGGAAATTATGTCCAATTTGTACGTGTAACAGTAACTCAAATAGTAACATGTTAAAAAATGTTCCAACTAATATAACCATTCAATTTTAGAATGCTAAAATTGTGTTGTATGTGGAATTGATATGTTAAAATCCGTTGTAATTATTCATTATCAAGTGAATTTGTAATATTGTTGCACGATTGGTTACTGTATAAAATGATCATTAAATACTAACATTGGCAGTAACATCATTAGTAACACTGAGTCTCATGATTGCTTCTATCACCTTCAAACCCCCTGTCAGACACAAAAACTTGTTATTCAAAAGTATAACATACTAAAATTGATTAAAAATTCAAATTTGAATTTGAATTTGAATTGATAAGGAAAACTTGTGATCTGAATTAATTCGTCAATTAGGTTTCTATATATAGCTAGCAGAGTATATATATTCCATATATTTTTCATTTAATTATTAGGATTTTTAATGAAAAATGATTTCCATATATAACTCAAACTATGGTTTCTATATATACTTTAAAGATTTAACCTATTGGACTTTCTATAATTAGACAAAATTAACACCGTTAGGGGTAAAATTGAGATTTAAAATAAAATGGACTTAAATATCTATAAGTTTAAACACGGACTTAGACTCCAATAAATTTCCTTGCCGGACTTATTTCCAAACAACTCCACATAGAGGGACCGACCTCCAAATTTTCCTAAAAGCTGTGTACATGCTCAGGGTAGAACCCATAAACCCATTTTGTTGGAATTGGCTTAAGGCCCATTAAAAGTGATTAGAAATAGTAGGTTAGATTAATACATTTGTTAGTCATTGATTATAAAGATAATAAAATAAATAAATAATTTACACATGACACATTTAATTTGCTAAAAAAAGGAGATAAATTATTAGAATATAATTTTTCGATACTATAGTTAAACTCATTTATGTACCCCATGAAATAATTGGGTCAATTATTCTCGTTAGAGATGACAGTGGACCGGGGGAGAACAAGAATTTATTCAAATTTGTCCTGTTTAGACTGAGGATGGAACATACGTATTGAATGGTAGACATATATGAAAATACTCGTATACACCCATGTGGGAATGGAGACAATTATAGACTGAAACTCATTTCTGCCCCGCTCCGCTAAACCCTTTAATATATATATATATATATATACTAATAAGATAGAACCCAATTTGAATCCATTTTTACTTCAAAATTTTATATAATTTTAATTCATTTGGGAAAGCACAAGAACGGCCAAGATTTAATCTACTTTTAATTTAATGGCTTAGATTTCATCTCCATTATTCCAAGTTTATTCAAAGGCGGACAATACATCCCCCACAAAAAACTTATTCCGCCCAAACCTTTTACACAGTGCCCAACTCAGTTGTCAGACACAATTCCCAAGGGCCCAACGTCTCTCTTCTTCTTCTCTTTGTCGGTATCCTCCTTTGCGACATCTCTCTTCCCTTTCAACCTTCACCGGCCACCCCCACCAACCCAGGTAAGCTCTCCTCTCTCTCTCCCCTCTCTTTCTCACCTCCAAGAGAACACGAGAGAAGTCATCGCCCAGAATGAAGCAGACGAAAAGATGGACAAAGAATGGGGTTCGAAGCCCGGTAACAGAGACGCCGCTTCCGCCCAGAATGAAGCCATCAACCACCGTGAACGGTTGCGGAGACTCAACCTCGAAACCATCGATCTCGCCAAAGATCCCTATTTCATGTGCAATCATCTCGGCAGGTCCAATTACCTCTCTCTCTCTCTCTCCCCCTCTCTCTCTATATATATATATTTGTGTGTGTGTGTGTGTGTGTTTAAATGATTAGTTGAAATCGATGTTGTTGTGAAAATTGGAATTTTGAAGTTAAGAGTGCAAGCTCTATTTAACACTGCACAACAATGAGGGGAATTACTTGGCCCATACACAGGGGAAGTGGCACCAGACGAACTTGGCCAAGGAAGCTGCTCGCGAGGCCAAGGAAGCATCAGCTCAGCCTCAGCCTCACAAGCAGAAAGTCACTCTCCGAAAATCAGGTAAAATAATTGGGTTCCAACAATAATAGAAATGACTTATTATGTTGTTATTGTTCAATTGTATACCTAATTTATGGTTCAAATATGTTGCTCACTTCCTAATTTGCATTTCGTAAATTTTATTTTCTGGTGGCTTGCAGTGAAAATTGGTAGGCTGGCTTGATGGAATAAAATCAATTAAAAAATAGTCGTTCATATTTTTTTGCCGATTGAGTTTATTTGATTGTTTAGGTTAGTAATCTATTGCTCTTCTTTTGGATCCAATTTTGAGGATCTCTCCAATTTTAAGGATCCCGAATGCCAACCCCCATATTGCAAATACTAAATAATTTGAGAATGGTGGCGTATGTCACTTTGACATTGCTTCTCGACAAAGCAGTGACAAAAATTCTACAAGTCAATTTACAAGATACATAGTGGAAATAATAGCTTCCAAGACCAAGAATCCCACCTATGATGATCCAAAAACTTCACACACAGTGTGTTATATAGTGTCTTCATGGTTATATTTTTGCATCTCTATGTGTTTTGTGTCTCTAAACAACAATCTCAAAAGTACATAATAGTGTTTTGTATTATAGATGTTGTGATCTTTGCCTGTGGTTGTATTGCAATCCCACGGTCCCTAGCCTTAGTTCATTATCCCTAGCCTTAGTTCACCATCCCTTCAAAGCTTTTTCATAAGTGCAACCTTTTTCACACTAGGTATGTGAAAAGGGAATTTTCAGTTGGTAGTTTAATTTTGGATAGTTGCATCATATGAGTCCTATTTTTTTAAAAAAAATCCAGCTCATTGCTTTTTCATCATACGACTACTTTGTTATGTTTTTTCACTTTTCCTTTCTCTAATTTTTTTTAATTAATTACTTAAATATTGTTAACTAGGTATCTTTTGCTTAATGGCTATCTTTGTTGGTTCATCACAATCTTTATGTTTTAAATAATAGGATCAAAATGATGGATGTTGTTGCTATTGGATTAAGTGTTCATTTTAAAAGGTGATTCTCACTTTTATTATAAGTGATTCTTCCTTGATTTTGTATTGAGTGATAAAAGTGTCATGTTTGACAAGAGGTTGTGGATTTAACTTCATTGAAATTCTTTTTTTGCAGAAGTAAAAAATTCAAGGAGCAGTTAACATAATAACATGCTTTGAAAATTCAATTTAGTAGAACCGCCTAACTAGAATTCTATTTCTATGTTACATGGTTGCAATTGTCTTGATTAATAAGTTGGCTAACAACCATCTCAATGTATATTTTTCACTTCATCTGCATAGTAGTTGGATATCAAGAACTCATCCACTATTTTTTTTTAAGAAATGATATTTGTATTCATGTTGAAGTTGTTTTCTTTTATTTATTTACTTTACTTTATATTTCTTTCTTTTATTCCCTTGTTTTCGCAGCTTGAGCAACATTGACGCAAAATAAACGGATGGTTAAACTGCAATTCTTTTTTTTTTTTATAACCAAGGGATTATAAAATAAGAAATGTGTGTGATTTCATGTGGGTTTATGTGTTGTCCAGGGAAAAAAGTTTGTTGTTTGGTCATTAATTGCATGAATATTAGTGGGTCTATGTTGTGGTAGTTAGTAAATCTTTTTATTAAGGCAGGATTATGGTTGGTGAGTGCGATGACTTTGGGGTTTTGTCAAAAATTGGTGGACCCCAATTAATTTCAACAAGGTTGAAAATCAACCAATGCTCGAGTTTCAACTTTGTTTAGCGAATTTTAATTTTTTAATTGATTATTATTTGGCTTATGCAGGGTGAATGAATGTACGTAGTTATTCATATTAGCTTAAGTTTGGTGTAATTCAGTTTATATTTGTATCTTATTCATTTTGGTATTAGATATTTGGGTCATTATATTGCAGCACTTGATAAATATTGGTAACAACAATGTGTGAAGTGATGAGATTTTTGATGAAAGATAGTTTTTATTTACATATAGGTTTGATTATGAATTGTACACAGGTTGATATTGTGTACTGGATCATGTTTTTAAAGAGAATTCTGTCGATTTTTTTTTAAATAACAGATTTTTTAAATTAACTATTGAAATTTTGTTTGTTACGCTAACTATTTTGATATGAGATTCATATGTGTGGCTATAATTACATGCAATATGTTATTGGTAGTAGTGTTACTGAACAGGTGATTGAATATTTAAATAGTAGATCATGGTGTAATGAAAGATATATGTGCTCTAGGTTTACTGAATGCAAAGGTTAGCAAATTGGAAACAGCCCCAAAGAAAGAATGAACACAAGAAGCAGTTCTGTGTGTAGAAATTGTGAAGGTAAAACTCTAATTTTTTTTCTTTGTCTATCCAATTTTGTGGATGAATCAGCTTTGTGGTTCTTTTAAGAGGATTTTAATTATTGAAATGAGCACTAGGAAGCTGATAAGTTTTAGATGCATAGCCATGTCGATTTTATCGGTGTTTGTTCAGTTTTCAACCTTTTTATGTTTATTTTGCCTTTTTCTTTTGTTTGGGGGCAATTGAGGACCAAAACTTCAATTTTTTTTGGGAGATTTGTGCTCTTATTAAGCTGATTCTTGGTATTTATTGGAATAATGAGTTTTTATGACTCATGTCAAAGTCATGGCTCCATGTCATTCTGCTTTCTTCCCATTTGTTTAGTCTGTCTGTGTACAAAGCTATTAGAGCTTGAAGCAATAGGAACTAATAACTTTTTGTCCTTTTGCCACATGTTTCTAATTGGACTTTTAAATACTTTGTTACTGTTTTTGGTACTTCTCTACACATTTAAGTAACAGACCATGCTGTTTGAGGTCATTAGTCTAACATTCTTATTTAACAGTAGTTTTAAGCCATTGCAGACTGAACTGATATCTGGGGACCAAAATGGCAATATTCGTGTATGGGACTTGATGGCAAATTCATGCAGTTGTGAGTTGGTATGCTCTGATATTCTGTACCTTCACTACATATTGCATCTCCTACTTTAGACTTGAGTCACAATCAAAAGTTGATGAAGTGGTCTTTTGCTTTCTATGTTTTTTTGCTCTATATTTTGATAAGAAAACTTATGCGCTTTGATGGGCCCAAAACTTCGTTTGTATGTGGATGTTTGCCTTCTGGTGCTCTCTCTCTCTTAAAGAGGTAGGTATGTATCAAAATCTTTTTATTACCTATGGTGTAAACACAGGTGCTGGAGGTCGATACAGCTGTAAGGTCTTTGACAGTAATATGGGATGGAAACTTGGTCGTGGCTGCAAACAACCGTGGAACATGCTATGTTTGGCGCCTGTTGCGAGGAATGCAAGTATTATTTTCATGAATTTAAGTCTTAGATGTTATATTCATTGTAAGTTATGAAATTATTATTTAAAACTTATATTGTGTCTTGTTGCAGACTATGACCAATTTTGAGCCACTTAATAAGCTGCAAACTCATGATGGATATATTGGCCAAAAATAATAAATATTTTTTATTTAATACATTGCACCTATTTTTAACCAAAAAATTGCACCTCAGGAAAAACGATTAGTTGAAAAAAGCAAAAAAATCAAAAATTAACCCAAAATTGTGTTTTTTATTTTTCAGAGATTTGAAAATACATTGTGTCCTACTTTGATATAATACCCCCCCCCCCTTTTTCTTTGCTTGCCTAAGACCCGACCCCCCCTAAAAAAATTCACACACACAGAACAAACACACGCACACACTCTTCCCTCTGTGCCCAACCCACACTCATATAGACCAATCTGCAACAAACATTGATTTTTGGTTGCTATTGTGTCCCAATTCCAATTTCCAATTTAGTTTGCTCTTTTTTTTCATTTGAGTATGCTCACAATTTTGTTAATTTTTATTTTTTAGACTTGGTCGCAAGATCTTTGAAAAAATAACCGATAGGGTTTGGTTTCTTGGTTTATGTGGGTAATGGGGGCTGTTTAGTTTGTGATTTTATGTGGTCTCCAAAGTGGCATGATGTTTGAGTGGTGGTTGAAGAGTAAGGATTTGTTATATAACTTGGGTGCAATATAAGTTGAGGATTGTAATTTGTTTCACGGTTTGTTTGTTTTTTAGATGGTAGGTTGTGTAATTAGTATTTTATTGATTGTCTATACATGTTGATAATCTATTGGGATCATATTTTTAGGAGAAATTATGTCCAAATATTTTTAAAAGAACAAAATAAGTATTTTTAGATTAAATAACATAAATGATAGCTTAAGGTTTTAACCATCTCTCTAATAACTAAAATGAAAGCATTTTGACCCTTTTTATTTCACTAAAGTTAGGACATTAAAAATGACGAAACGATTTTCAACTTAATGCATGTTTATATTCATTGTTTGATTGTTCCCTGTTTAAGAATTATGTACATTGCCTTCAAACACGTGATATAGGGCGAGTTTAGACTTTTAGTTTAGTATGTGTCCGAGTTTAGTGCTTGAATATTTCACGTTCAAATTTAATATTCAATTTTTTTTAGTTGCTCCGTGCCTTCAGGCACGGGTTATATATATTTAAGTCCTAACCATTCCAACTTTTCCAAAATTTGGGTTCCGTAAATGCACCCCACCAATGGTGGTTCCACCTAGAATTAGAAATAGGTGTTGAATTCTTGTAAATTGAAGAGTTGCCACCTAAAATTAGTGAACCAAGAGTCTTATGCTTCGTTTGGTACGAAGGATAAAAAGTAGGAGGAATACACTTTTTATCATTCAAGAAAAAAAAATAGGAATGAAACACTTTCCTTTATATTTGGTTGGATGAATGAAAAATAAAATAACTAATTTTTTTTTTTTGTACTAATTAAGATTAGGACTGACAATCGAGAGTCGTATAGTGTTGTGTCAGATTCATGTTAATTCATTACGGATTTGTGTTGAACATTAGTCAAACCAAACTCAATTCATTTAACTAATTGTGTCATGTCAAGTTACGAGTTGACCTGTTTATTTTTGTGTTGTGTTCGCGTATTCGTATTGATCCACATAAACTTAGAACAAAAAATTTAACACTAATATTCTATTTTTTTTTTTTTTTATTTTTTTGTTTTTTGTTTTTATTATTTTTATTTTAATTTTTAAATTTTTTTTAAAAAAATTTATATACATATATATACTTATTTTATCAATGTATTTTTATATGAAATTAATGTATACATAATATATAAACAAATAAGATACATCTCAACACAAATAATTAATTTTTCATCCACTTTTCTTCCGATTTTGGAGGAATTGATTTTAGTGAGTTGGAAGGAAAGTTAATCCATCAACTTTTTCATCCTTCCTATTTTCCTTCCTTACCAAACATGATATTTTATTTATTCCTCAAATTTTTCATCCTTCCAACTATTCATCTTTCTATTTTTCCATCATACCAAATGAAGTATTAGCTTCAAACAGTAGGAAAAAATGCCTCCAAAAATTTCAGATTTCGAATTTTACAAAAGTAGGTGGCGGGGACAGGAATTATGATTTAATCGCTGAACAGGTATGATGATTTAAACTAACCTTGTTAACGATTTTTTTTGTAAAATGGTTAAGGGTGGAGACTACTCCCCCGCCCTTGATCCGCTGTCATCCCTATAATTGGGTACTTTCAAACGGCCAAATTTGAAAAAAAAAAAAAATTGAATTTGGTATATGTGAAATAGGTTTAAAAAATAAGTGATTTTTTATTTTAAGAATTACTAAAAATATAACGATTAATATTAGTTGAAAAGGAAAAGTAAAGCTCAATAAAAACAACATAATTGATATTTTGGTGGATGAGATATGATCAATTAAGTGGAAAATTTCATCCACACTTTTTTTAATTAGATCTAAATTTAATGACACTTTCTTCTGATTTTAAAATTTCACTGCATTCCCAAATTTTAAAACTTTATTGTCGGATGATAATGTAGACAAAACAATAGTCAATGTAGATGAAATTTTCCCTTAATTAAACAATGCCTACCTTAAGCTTTAGTCACCCCCATCGTCAGATCTGATTATTTTATATATATGTTGAACTAATCAAATGGCTCAAGCACATCAGAATTGAGAGCAACATTCAAGAAGTGATCAAGCCCTGCTCAATTGAAGGAGTCACTCCTCGGAAAATCAGTGCCTTTGTGGATGACACTAGTTTTTTAGCTAGACGCCTTAATATTAGATTTTTACAAAAGCAAAAAATCTTTAACAGGGCAACTGATTGGGTGACAACAATAACATTGTCCAATTCTCTTGCTGTGAATTGGGCCAGTTGCCCCTTGTCGAGCTGAAGACTTTATTTTCTTCGGAATGAATTCATAGTCTGGGTTTTGATCCAAAAAACAAACCTGTGCTGAAAATTCCACAAAGATGTCATAGCTAACGTCAAGATGCCCATTAGAAAACTCTCGATTGTGACTCCATTGCTTACGTATATAACATGGTTTCATCGTCTAATCTATTTAATATTACGGTTAGGAGTTAATATCATCTTCTAACCTATTTAATATTATAGTTAGGTAGTCTTAGGCGTTAATAAGATAAATTCTCAACTCGAAAAAAGCAAGCACATTGGGGGAGCCCCTCATGGTCACGCCTAGGGGGAACATTATCTGCTGGTCACCCCTCTCTCCCATTTTTTCTGCTAAAAAGAAAAACTCGAAAAAACAAGATAATTATTAAAATTTGATATATTTTGATTTATTGACACAAAATACATTCCCAAATTTATTTTTTCGCTCAAAAATATTATATTTTCTATACGACATCTAATATCAAATTACTCAAGCAACACATTTTTTAAAATCAGACAATCTAATTAATTAAAGCATGTCTCTTTCTTATTTTCTCTTTGTTCGTTTTAATTTTAAATTACGTAATAAAAAAATGAATAAAATTATTATTTAAAATATAAATCTTGCACGATCAATTTTTAATTTTTGGTATTACATGGTGTTTTCAAGCACAAAGTTATTGTTAGTTTATCTAATAAAATAATTTGTATTTTAAATTTTATTTCCACATATTTTTTTCTCCCATTTCTATCATATCACAATTTAAATTATTTAATTTTTCATTAATTTATTATTCAATATAATTTTTATTTCAGACATTATTTATTTACAATAGTGTAAACATACTGATAGTTTTTTGAGGTTAAATATTTTGAAAAACTTTTGATGAATTTTTGTAAATAATTATTATTTAATATTTCTGGATCAATTTTTTTAATGCTCGAATTTTAGTTTTGTATATTGGACAGATTATAACATGTAGATCAATAAATGAATAAGTGAATCTCATTCATCAAAAAAAAAAAAATCACAAAATCCAATAATAACCAGGTGTATTCGTTGTGAAAAATCCATCAATCCAAACTAGTATGCAACTTGAACAGGCTAATTCAAACCCAACCTAAAAACTAGAGCTTGAGTTTAGGTTTTTAATATTTGGATTAAATCGAAACTAAAAAAAGGCAACTCAAATTAAATTCGGACAATATCTGAGTATCCGAGTTTAATTCGAATATATAAATTAAACTAAATTCAAACATATTTAAAAATAACTATATAAATCAATAGCGTTGGCACTTCACAATCGGTTCAACGTTCACTGCCGAGCCTCCCTCAGTTAGGCCCACACTCTCTTCACTCAACTTCTGAAGACTTCGTTTGAATGAATTTTGAGAAGGAGTTTGAAACATGAAGTACACGATCGAAAGGAGACCCAAAAACAACCCACTCCAGAAAATGTCGACTGACCAGACACTGTCTATAAAAAGAGAGTTCACTTCCATGGCGAACCTACATTCAGAATCTGGTGGCGATCTTCTTCTCCTTGTGTGTGAGTTATACGTTCTTATCTACTGCTGATAATCTCCCTTTGTCGATAACAACAATAATAGGGTTTTTGTATTGATTTCATAAGTTTTTGAAACAGAGTATGACTCACTGAATCGAATTGGTTCGTGCAGGAAAGCTAAAATGAGTTCAGAAGTGAAGGAGGACTGTCTCGGATGGGCAGCAAGAGATTCATCTGGTTTTCTATCCCCTTATAAATTTCCAAGAAGGTATCAAAACTTGCTTTTATTTTCGATCGACCAACTCTACTTGGACCTAATTGTATAGACTGGACACAAATAGCATTTTCTTTAGTATTTTTGTGTAGTCGATCATAACTTAAAACATATATTTCTAATAACTGGTCTTTGAGCTTATGAAAAATTGAATTGGAGTTTACTTTCTTGCTATATTGTTATTATTACACAGATTTGCTGACCCTTTTGACTCTGGGGATAAACCCCAATACAGGGCAGTTGGAGATGACGATGTTTTGCTAACAATTACTCATTGTGGAGTATGTTATGCTGATGTATTATGGTCCAGGAATAAATTTGGGGATGCAATGTATCCTCTGGTGCCAGGGTATGGGAATTCAACTCAAATCGATTCATTTGGGTTAAAAATTGAAGTATTTTATGGCTGAAAATTCAGTGTCAAATCGGGTGCAATTTGGGTATTGATTCTAAGATTACACAACTTGTTGATCTTGAATTCTATAGATCGGATTAGATTCCAAAAATCATAAGCTCCAATGGAGTACTTGAATCGGATTGAGATATTTTTGTCCAAATCCAATCCAAGTACTTGAATCTTTGACCAAATACTAAATATTTGGGTTAGTTGGGATTAATATGCTCTAATTGCACCTGAAATATTTCAGATAATACAAAGATGGGTTTGCTCATTTTTTTCATCAATTGATGTCTGTACATTTGAGCAGACATGAAATTGCCGGAGTTGTGAAAGAGGTTGGCTCCAATGTCCATCGTTTCAACGTTGGCCAACATGTCGGAGTTGGAACGTATGTTAACTCATGCAAGGAATGTGACAATTGCATTGCTGATCGGGAAGTCCATTGCGAAAAAGGAGCAATACTCACATTTAACTCTGTTGATGTGGATGGTACTGTCACAAAAGGTGGATATTCCAGCTACTATGTTGTTCATGAAAGGTAACCCACAGTCATGGCAAGCTATACGTATTAGTCATTCCATAATCTGTCCTTAATTTGAATCCCACTAAGTTATGTGTTCGAATCAAAGAGTAGTTACTTTGTGCTCAAATGAATATTGTTGTAACTTGACTCTATTGAGTCAATTACTAACCTTTTTGAGTCATAACTCGGCTTTAAATGAGTTATAAGGAGCTCTTATATACTACTAATTTTCATATCTGAATCAAATTTAAGTGGGTACTGCTATTGTTTTGGACTTACAGGTACTGCTTCAGAATACCTGATGGCTACCCATTGGCCTCAGCAGCTCCCCTGTTGTGTGCTGGAATTACTGTGTACAGTCCCATGATGAGGCACAAGATGAACCAACCTGGAAAATCTCTTGGGGTGATAGGGCTTGGAGGCCTTGGTCACTTGGCTGTCAAGTTTGGGAAGGCTTTTGGAATGAATGTAACGGTGGTCAGCACAAGCATGTATAAGAAAGAGGAAGCTTTGAATCTTCTTGGAGCTGACAAATTTGTGGTCTCATCAGATGAACAACAGATGAAGGTAAATGATATGTGTTACTTATGGATTTCGAAATCCAGATGTTGCTCCATAATTTCCATCTCAATGGTGAAACACCCACCAACCTGCATATCTATAATGAGTCCCAACTTAAAATCATGTCTCTTGATTTATCTATAAAAATTGAAGAAAAAATGTATTGTAGGGGACCAAGTCCGTTACTTCCAGAATAAGATGTTATCAGTCAACCTTAAAGTGACATAATGAACAATTTGAGAAACAGGGCATGCAACAGTTTGATCCACTTGTATGCAGACCCTGGCAAATTCATTGGACTTTATAATTGACACAGCTTCTGGGGATCACCCATTTGATCCATACATGGCCCTGTTGAAGACTGCTGGCACCCTTGTCTTGGTTGGCGCCCCAAGTGAAGTCAAGCTCAGTCCCATCTGTCTTATTAGAGGTACTTGTAACACTTGCAATTGTGATTGGCACACACACACACACACACAAAAACAAAGACTTGTAATTGTGAAGCATGCGGACAAATTGCTTGCGTGACTAGAATATGTGATCTCCCAACCCTAGTCATAATTGTAAAGAGAATTTTTTATTTTTTATTTTTTGGGTGGCAGGTATGAAATCGATTTCTGGGAGTGCAACAGGTGGTTTAAAAGACGAGCAAGAAATGCTAGATTTCTGTGCAGCTCACAAAATATACCCTTGGATTGAACTGATTTCAATCCAATATATAAATGAAGCTCTTGAGAGGCTAGTGAAAGGAGATGTGAAGTATCGATGTGTGATTGAAATAGAGAAGTCCTTGAAATGATACCTACACAAAGTACATGGATATCTAACTTCTTGATGAATGTGGATGGACTACCATCTTGTTATGTGACTCAGTTTTCATTATCTATGTAAGTTTTAGTATGGTGTGATTTTGAACTTGAAATGAGAAGATCGCTTGATCTGCTCCGTAATAAAAATTGCATTGACGTGTATTAAATCCCATATTAGTCCCAAACAATTTTCTTCTTTATTTTTATTTGATTCTTATAATTACACAACTGATCTGACTCCACTCTATTAAGCTTTGAGATATTAAAAAGTATTTTGAGATTGTCCTTAGACACTTATTAATGACACTTATCATATCATTAAACGATAGATGTGACATGGAGGGATTTCATGTGTCCAGTAAAATCAATTGATGTTTTCTAAAATTCTGATAGAAGAGTATACTTCCAAAATTAGAAAAAAAAATTTAATTTTTTGGGCATACCTGAAATAAGCAAAAGTAGTATAAGGGAAATTTTCCTTTTCTTCTTATAATCTACCAAAAATATTGGGCATTAATATCTGAGAAAAAAGAAGGGAAAAGGTAATAATAGTGTTTGGATTAATATTGGATATTATTCAAAAAATTCACCAGTAAATAGGGTCTAGTTACTACTTATTTTGAGTCAAATTGTGACTATAAAATGTCAATTACGACTTTCCGCAATCACGTTCCAACTTAAAATAAAATTAAAATGATTCTAGAATATGAGAATTAATCCTTAATATTAGAATTGATCCCAAATAGTCTTATTTTATGGTTGCCTTAGTAGAATAAATCATAACCTCACCTTTATTGCTTTTAATAAACTTATTTTTATATTCTAGTAATGTGTCAAACTACAAAAAAAAAATTAAAAATTACAGAACGTTTATCTTGGATAAATTATACATACATTTTTTATTATTTTATTTAATTACACAGACACCGGGTAATTTGAAAAATAATAGAGAAATCTCTTGATTTTTGGTACCTATACGATCTAGACATTTTTTTTTGTGCTAAATATAACTTGAGATTAAAAAAAAAGAATACAAAATAAAATCAAACATTGAGGCTTTATGCATGCCCGGAGGCTATACAAGAAAATTCTCAAGCTAGTTTAAAAACTTAAAGTAGCTAATAGAGATTAAATAGACAAGGATATAAAGAAAATCGAATATCATCCCGCAAGTCATGAGGCTACGCAAAGAATATATCAATCTACTCGCACCACCCTTTTCCTCTAGTGTTATTTACGCCGTTTAATGACAATTCCTTCTGAACTCTTCGGATGATTTGCTAGATTTTAATCCATATCTTGAAACAGCTTGGTTAATGCAAGTTTTGGTGAAGCCAGTTCCATGTAACATTCATCCATTGAATCTTCAGATTCATAAGAGACTAAGTCGTGCACATCATCCTCTTTATCAGATTCATCCCCCTTGCTTTCTATTTCTTTATCATGTTCCATCTCAACCTTCTTGATGTCTTCCTCAGCAATGGATTGGAGTTGGTTAGGTAGATTCACTGAAGGTTCATGATTGTCTTCCTCTTGCAGCACTCTGAATTGATTCTCAAGTGGAACTTCTGTACTAAGGGATGAGGACTTTTCTTTTGGCCTAACAATAATTTCTTTCACTAGCGTAGAATAACAAACTTGTTGCTTTGTCTGTACCTTCTAGACTTTTGGCAGTGTCATGACCCTTGAGATGGGGCTGATTTTGTTCTGTAGAACCCGTTGAATGAAAATTACCTTCAGCCTTTTTCCTCCAATCTGTTTTGCCCGTAGAAGTAAAGTTGTTACGTGATTGCTTAGAATTGGAATTAGTCAGAAGTTTTTCCTTGTTGATCACTCTTCGTGGTTTCTTGTGTTGGACTAGAAGCCAAGAACCAAATGTTTCTTCCTCTTTGTTTTGGAGCTTGTATATCTGGCCCTGCTGCCTTTGTGCTGCTTGTTCTTGTTGGGAATCCATGACAGTAGCTGGTGATGTGTTGCAGGCTTCAGTGTCATGCCCAGGAAACTCGCAACTGAAACATATCTTCTTAAGGCCTTACGTAAATGTGGGCGTTCAAACTTGAAAGAGAATGTCATAATTTTTTTTATAATACCAAGAATGCCCTGCAAGTCATGTAATTTTCTCCGTCCCCTACACCTAGCCCGAATACCCAACAAATGAAAGTCGGATCCTTTCCCCATCATTAGTCACTAAATATTATGACATAAAAGCTTTTATACCAAAACCATAAACTACGACGATCAAACTTTCGTCTGAAAGTGGTGCGAAGATAAGTAGAGGTGATAAATGGGTGGGTTGAGTTGGTTATGGGCTGATTTAAATTGGGTTGGGTGTAAAATAAATTCAATCTATTTTTAATCCGTTTAATAAAAGGATTATAATTAATTGAATCAAAATGGATTAGGTTAAATCCATTAATCCATAAAGTAATTAAAATTCTAAATATAAATACATCCTAATATATCAAATAAAACACACTCTATTACACCAAAAAATAAACACACTAATATACCAAAAATTACATATACATTAATACATCAAAACACACAAACACACTATTATACCAAAGCAAACACACACATACTAATACACTAAAATAAACACACACACATATACTTATACACCGGGGTCAAATTTAGGGTTGGGTCGAGGTCGAGGTCGAGGTTCGAGTCCAGGTCCAGGTTTAGGAAATTTATTTACTAGACTAGAAGTTTTAATATTTCACTTCTAAAGCTAGATTTTAAATAGACTTCAACATAAAATAAATAAGCATTGAAAGTGAACAGAATACGATAAAATCCGTATTAATTGATATGTCTGTACGTGTTGCATGCAACGGTCTACAAAATAATTCTTATTAATTATAGAATACGTGTGCCCTATTTGATAACATAACTATGCACTACAACAATCTTTTATCCATCATTAGTTACTAAATACTATAACATAAAAGCTCTTCCAAAACAAAAACTACGATGGTCGAACTTTCTTCTGAATTTAGAAAGTGGTGGGAGATAATTAGATGTGACAAATGGACGAGGTGGGTTGGGATATTTATGGATTGTTTTAAATTGAGTTGGATACAAAATAAATTCAATTCATTTTCAACCTGCTTAATAAATGAGTTATAATAGGTTGAATCATAATAGATTGAGTTAAACACATTAACTCTTAAAATAATTAAAAGGAAAATTGGGAAGCCGATCCTCTCCTATAGATTTATTTGTTATGAAGTTTGTTTTTTGTCAATTTTATCAAACTATCTATTTTCTTTAGAAGTGAAATAAAACTAAAAATTAAAAATTCATAAATTTTAGAAGTTTGACTATCATTAAAAAAATTGATCTCTCATATATATCTATATCTATATATAGGTTATGACTATATCTCTCAAATATATATAGTAACATTAAAAATAAAAAATGGTAACATTCAAATACAAAAAAAAAATATCATTTAAACACAAGGAAAAAAAAAACATTTAATATATCATTTAATACCATTTTCACTAATTAAAAATCTAATTGTAAATACACACTAATATACTAAAAAATACACACATTAATATATACCAAAAAATATACACACACATTAATACACTAAAACAAACACACATACTAATATACCAATGAAACACACATATGCACACATATACTTATACACAGGGGAGGGGTCGGGTCCGGGGTTGGGGTCGAGATTGGGGGTTAGGTTGTGTGTATATTTTTTGGTGTATTATTGTGCGTGTGTGTATTTTTTTAGTATATTGGTGTGTGCATTTGATTTTATTATTTTTGTTAGTTAATAGAAAGATAAATACTCAATTTAATAGGTACTCATTTGTAATTCATTTGAACCTGTTTAATTAAAATGAGTGTTATTATCCAACCCATTTGAACCCCACATTAATTAATATAAGTACCAAATTTATTTATTTATGGGTGGGTCGGACGGATTAAGAGGTAATGGATTAAAAATGTTACCTCTAGAGATAAGAAAGAAATTAAACATGACATCCCAGAAGAGATGGAGAGAGAGAGAGAGAGAGAGAGAGAGTTTGAACACTTGCAGACCAATAAACTGCAACATAAATTGATATATTAACCATTGAATATATAGTACCGAACGAAGTAAAGAAAATGATAGTTGTCTCATTGGTTTTCGATTGCTTTAGTTTCAATTTTTACGCCTTGGACAGATCATCTCACATATATATCCACCTCTTAATCTTGAGTAAAAGATCAAACAAGGCTTCTTGGACAAAAACATCTTTGATTTGTATAGATTACCTTGAGCTAGCTCTAAACTATAGCATTTTCCTAAAAGAAAATAAGAATAAATCTGTAAAATTATATTGTCTAGAAAATGTATAGTAGTTTGGATGTTTCTTTAAAAAAAAGGGGGGCCATCATTTTCATAAAGTTAGGTAGACAGATATTCACCCTCCAAATCCAAGTTCAAAACAAGGGAAGAACGTTCTTAATTGGGCCCTTTTTTTTTTTGGTCAGAAAATCAAAATTTGCATTAATGGTAAACTTTGAAATACAATCTACAAGTCTTAGCCAACACCAGCCCTTTCCTATTCTCTAAGAACACTCCTCAGATATGATGGGAGATGAATCACCCAATGAGGGTAAAGGTTACCTCTTCTAGTCAAACCTGCTAGTGTACGAGTCACCTTGTTCTGGTTCTTCTTGATTATTTGAAACTTGATCTGGGGAATCTGTTATGCATAATACCATATATCTTGTTGAATTGGCGTAATATTTTTAATTGTAGCTTCGATGCACTTGCATATTGAATCCATGAGAACCTTTGAATCTGATTCTATGATTATTTTTTGAAGCTGAAGTTCCAATGCCATTTTGGCAGGCTCTCCTCCTAACTACACAAGCCTCGGAAACTAATGCAGAAGAAGAGTCAAAAGTTCTGGCATCCCCATTTATAAAAACGCCGTCCTCATTTCTAACAACGCCATTTGCTCCTATCCTAGACTTCGGCAAAAAAGCCCCATCAGAGTTGATTTTCATCCACTCTTTAGGTGGAATTGGCTATCCAGATTCCTCCTCTCTTGAATTTTCCCTTATGCTGACGTTATCCTTATAAGTAAGGACTTCTT